TTTGTTGGTTTTTCTGGTCGCTCCAGATTATGGCCCGAACATCGAAATTTTATATGGAGAAGTGGATAAGGCCGAAGAAAAAGCATGCCTATTTTGACAAAAATCGGTCAATATTTAACGGATCAAATGGACCCCGACTTTTGTGTGAAAAATGACGAAAATTTGTATTTTTTGGCGTATATATTTACTCCTGAAGGACATAGGTCCGAAAAGTTGGTAGTATATCCAAGAGGAGTGGTTGACCTTTAAACTGATACCAATTATATTGCCGTACGTACTCGGATGTGGGAGTTACACTTAAATATTTACTGGTACTTACGTATTCATATAATTTTTAATAATCCATTACCACTCTAGAGGGCGGAATATAGTAGTGATCGCTTTGAAAATTTCCAAGAGGTTCCAGTTATGATCAAGGACAACGCCTCTAATTTTCGGTGATGATCAGGTTATAATTTTGGAATGAAGAGGACCGAAAACTTGTTTTTGCTTTTTTCGCGTCGATATATAGGCTACACTTATAAGCCGAACATCACAACACAACCCACGGGGAAGGATATCTGGTCATGTAATTAGAAGAGCCTACCACACGGATTTTTTAAATAATTTTTGTCAAGGCCTACCACAAAGTGTAGATTTTTTAAATTATTTTTTCAAGGACTTCTACAAGGCCTGGATTTTTTATACCCTTCACCACACTGTGGTACAGGGTATTATGTCTTTGTGCATATGTTTGTAACAGGCAAAAGGAAACGATATAGACACATGGTTCCTTTGGAGAATATGCATAGAATCATTTTCTGAGTCGATTTATGCATGTCCGTCCGACCGTCCTTCTGTCTGCCCATGTTAAATTGTAAACAAAGTTCTGGTCGCATTTATAATTCGAATTAGATGAAATTTGGTACAGATCATTTATTTGGTCCAAGGAAGAACCATATTGAAATTGGGAAAAATCGATTCAGATTTAGATATAGCTCCCCTATATATTTTCGACCGATTTTAAGTAAATAATGCACCAAAGACCCTATATATCCTTCGATTTGCACGAAATTTGGCACAGTCTACTGAATTAAGTCTAGAACGATATGTGTTAAATTTCGTGAAAATCAATTCAGATTTAGATATAGCTCACATATATATTTTCGTCCGATTTAAGGTACATGGTGCACCAAAATCCCTAAATATGCTTCGATTTGCACGAAATTTGGCACAGTGTACTAAATTAAGTCTAGAATGATGTGTGCAAAGTTTCGTAAAAATCGGTTCAGATTTCGATATAGATCCCATATATATTTTCGTCCGATTTAAGGTAAATGGTGCACCAAAGTCCCTAAATATGCTTCGATTTGCACGAAATTTGGCACAGCGTACTAAATTAAGCCTAGAAGGATGTGTGTTAAGTTTCGAGAAAATCGGTTCACATTTTGATATAGCTCCGATATATATTTTCGTCCGACTTAAGGTAAATGGTGCTCCAAAGACCCTATATATCTTTCGATTTACACAAAATTTGGCACAGTGTTCTAAATTAAGCCTAGAACGGTGTTAAATTTCGTGAAAATCGGTTCAGATTAAGATATAGCTCCCACATATATTTTTGTCCGATTTTAGGTAAATGGTGCCCCAACGTTCCTATATATCTTCCGATTTGCACGAAATTTGGCATGGCGTACTGAATTGAGTCCAGAATGATGTGTGTTAAGTTTCGTAAAAATCGGTTCAGATTTAGATATAGCTCCCATATATATTTTCCTCCGATTTAAGGTAAATGGTGCACCAAAGTCCCTATAAATCTACCGATTTGCACGAAATTGGGCACAGCGTACTGAAGTCAGCCTAGACGTGCTGTGTGCAAATTTCTTCAGGATATTGTACATGTGAGCATCTATTGTATTTACCCCAAGTGATGAAGGGTATCATATAGTCGGCCCGTCCGACTTTACTGCTTTTCTTACTTGTTTAAAAATATTTGTTGGAGGACCTATGACCCCCATTAAGCATTTTTAATCAAATTTTATGTCAAGTTAATTGCACCTCACCATCTTGCATTTTCCCCTTCCCCTTTATTCCCCTTCCCCTTTATTTCGAATTAATACCCGAAATATGACTTCGAAGACATTTAAGTGGCATTAAAAAGTGCACAAGAAAGATATTAACATAACTTTTCACATAAAAGAAAATATTATTGACAATAAAGACAGCCATTGAAGAATGTAAGTGTAAAAGTACAGAAAAAGAAAAGAAGAGAAATAAATCAGACAGGTATTGAAGAAAATGAAAAGAAAAAAAATATTGGCCATTTCTTTTTGATGGAGAATTCAACTTTCCGTTTATTGGCCGTAAAACTAAAGAACGATGCCAATGACATACAGTCTGACACACATGGCTACATTAATTATCAATATATTTTTAATGGGGTATATTATAAAGAAAATATTTTCCAAAGAGAACTTCCATAATTTATAAAGACTTTGGTGCACCATTTACATAAATCGAAATCTGAACCGATTTTCATGAAACTTAATACACATAATTCTAGCTGTGCCAAATTTCGTGCAAATCGAAAGATATATAGGGACTTTGATGCACTATTTACCTAAAATCGGACGAATATAGATATCGGAGCTACATCTAAACCTGAACCGATTATCACGAAATTTAACACATATTGTTCTAGATTCAATTCAGTACGCTGCGCCAAATTTCGTGCAAATCGAAAGATATATTGGGACTTGGGTGCACCATTTACCTGAAATCGGACAAAAATATATATGGGAGCTATATCGAAATCTCAACCGATTTACACGAAACTTAACACACATCATTCTAGATGATGACTGGTAACATCATTCTAGACTCAATTTAGTACGATGTGCCAAATTTCGTGCAAATCCAAAGATATATAGGGACTTTAGTACACAATTTACATAAAATCGGACGAATATAGATATCGGAACTATATCTAAATCTGAACCGATTTTCACGAAATTTAACACACATCATTCTAGGCTTAATTTAGTACGCTGTGCAAAAATTTCGTGCAAATCGAAGAATATATAGGGTCTTTGGTGTACTATTTTCTTAAAATCGGACGAATATAGATATCGGAACTATATCTAAATCTAAACCGATTTTCACGAAATTTAACACATATCGTTCTAGACTTAATTCAGTACGCTGTGCCAAATTTCGTGCAAATCGAGTGATATATAGGGACTTTGATGCGCCATTTACATAAAATCGGACGAAAATATATATAAGAGCTATATCTAAATCTGAACCGATTTTCATGAAACTTAACACACATCATTCTAGGCTTAATTCAATACGCTGTGCCAAATGCATAAATCGACTTAGAAAGTGATTCTATGCATATTCTCGTTCCCTTTTGCCTGTTGCAAACATATGCACAAAGGCGTGGATTTTTTAAATAATTTTTCTCAGGATCCTCCTCCACAAGGCGTGTATTTTTTAAATAATTTTTTTCGGGGTCTACCACACAAGGCGTGGATTTTTTAAATAATTTTTTTCGGGGTCTACCACACAAGGCATGGACTTTTTAAATATTTTTTTCGAGGCTTTAGAAGTTCTCCACATGGCGTGGATTTTTAAAATAATTTTTTCGGGGTCTACCACACAAGGCGTGGATTTTTTAAATAATTTTTCAAGGCTTTAAGGGGTCCTCCACAAGGCGTGGATTTTTTAAATAATTTTTTCAAGGCTTTAAGGGGTCCTCCACAAGGCGTGGACTTTTTAAATAATTTTTTCAAGGCTTTAAGTGGTCCTCCACAAGGCGTGGATTTTTTAAATAATTTTTTCAAGGCTTTAAGGGGTCCTCCACAAGGCGTGGATTTTTTCAATAATTTTTTCAAGGCTTTAAGGGGTCCTCCACAAGGCGTGGATTTTTTAAATAATTTTTTCAAGGCTTTAAGGGGTCCTCCACAAGGCGTGGATTTTTTCAATAATTTTTTCTAGGGGTCCTCCTCCACAAGGCGTGGATTTTTTCAATAATTTTTTCTAGGGGTCCTCCTCCACAAGGCGTGGATTTTTTCAAAAATTCTCTCTATTCTAATATTATTGAATCTTTTGTTAATGTGTTGGTATGTGTGTGTGTGTGTTTATGTTTGTGTGCCAAATCTGGCCCTAATAGTTGTAAAAAAATATATTGTGTTTTGGTACTTAGTTTTTTTTCTTCTTCTTCTTCTTTACATCCCACTGCCCTGGTTGAGTATTTGTTGCGCATTGACTTCTTAACCCAAATATTTTTGTTCAATACCTATTATGTGCGGATTTTTTTTTCCTCTTGACTTCCTCCACTCTTTTCATAAAAAGAAAAATATCTTGAAAAAAAGACGACAACCACAAATCCCATTGTTATTGGTTGGGATGAACAAACCCGAATGAGGAGGAACAGAATGGAGAAGACGACAACAATGACAGAGTCCCTCTCTCTTTCTGTGTGACAATAAACACAGCAATGCCAATAAAGATGACGACGAAGTTCTGCAGCAAACCACAATGTCTTGCGGATGATAACTTACATTTGGTATTGGGTGCCTTAGGAGGAACAAATACAAAGGCCCACACACACACACACCCATACACACTCATATATAGTTTAGTGATAATAATAAAAAAATCTGTCCTATTCTGACATACTTCGACTGGTGGTGATGGTTTATTGAAAATCTGCTTCTTACCATTCCGTTAGCCAGAACACATACTTCTGGCTAATATTTCGGAAAAATGTTCCCTTACTCCTTTCAAATGTGTGAGACTTTACAGTGGCTCCTAGAAGTATGCTTCAATTGTTGGTATGGACAAAATATCTTTCGATGTGGCGTATAATTACTGTCATAATGTATACGCCTAAGGGTACTAGAAAATAGTTATCATTAATTTACCGTGACTCACAGTAAAAATATTTCAAATTGTTTTAAATAATTTGTTCCAATCCAATATCTAATAATTTTATTTTCTATATTTTTTCATTGCAGATCGATATATCCTGTCGCCAGACAAAGCAAACAGTCAGTTCAATCTTGACCCGCACCAATTTTGTGACACTCAAATATGTGACAGATAATTGGGGTACGGATACGAATGGTTTCAAATTGGTAATAACATCGGTAAAGGATCCAAGTAAGTATTAACGAAGATAATCAAAAAGGCAACAACAACAAAGAGCAGCAATCCCACTACGGCTGGTTCCGGATTGACTCGGAGATGAACTCCGACCAGAGGCTACCACCTCAACAACTATGTGTACGTCATTTTTGTCTTGGGAGCGGCATTATATCACGGAATGCCTGCTCTGAACCCTACTGGTCCGTGGCGGGATTGAAACTAACACCGGACCTGGGTTCTGTAGTGTTTTTCCAGAAACCGCATCCACCATAGATCAATCTCGGTGAGATATAATGGATGTGGAGAATGGGTGTATTTTCGAGGTTGCTCTGGACTGAACAGGATCCAGGAGTACAGCGAAAGGAGTTACGTCGCTTCATGCTGCGCTAGCACGTCTCCCAGTGTGTCTCAGGAGTCGTCGTCCGATTCATCATCTGAATCGTCATCGTCGGAGTACGAGACACCTCCGCAGTCACCTCAACAGCAAAATGCGCAGCATTTAACATCACATATTGCTGTTCCCCGCCTAGAAAATGCATCGTTTTTGCAGTTCAACTGTGATGATATTCGAAATTTTCGAATTTATTAGTCGAAAGAGAATAATGGTCGGTGCGATCCAGGAAACTAAGCTAACCGAGAACTGTAGCTTGCAGCGTTGCTATGGTTACAACGTTGTGCGGAAGGACCGTACCAGACGCGGAGGTGGGGGACTTGCATTCTTACTACACCATTCTGTCCAGTACAGACCTATCACGCTTGAGCTAGACTCTAGTGACCCATACATGGGTAGCAGCCAAGTGTGGAACTGCCGAGGTAGAGGTGCTCAATGTTTATATACCGCCGATGAATAGCTGTACACCGCGTTAGAAGGTAATAACCGCCTGGTACAGGGGATTTCAATGCCCACCATGAGTTGTGGCAGTCCGTCCTAGGTAATGACCTGAGGGGTACAGTGCTGGCTGAGCAAATTGATAGCTCAACATTTTGCATGGTTAATGAGGATACCCCCACGGGTATGAAAGGAGATTGTCACAGCTCGCCTGACATCACCATTGTGGCACCGGGTCTGATAAATGATGTAATCTGGCAACCCGTCATTTCACTCGGCTCAGACCATCTTCCGAACATTGTCTCCGTCAAGAGACCACCAGATTTCATAACCTCTGAAAGCCGTACTTTCCTGAACCATGCGCAAGCTGATTGGCCTGGCTTCAGAGAGTTTACCAATCACCGCTTCAGAGAGCTGCCCATTCCCTCAGATCCACGGATAGCTGAGAGGAATTTACAGAAAATCATCGCTGCCGTTCGCTTTATACCTGCTCGTCGAATACTCTAAGTAATACCTAACTTACCAGCAGAAGCAACGGTATTGGCTAATGAACGTGATGAGCTCCCATTCGCTCAGATCCACGGGTTAGCTGAGAGGAATTTTCGGAAAACAATCGCTACTGCTGCGGCTTGCTTTATACCTGCTCGTCGAATACCCTAAGTAATACCTAACTTACCAGCAGAAGCAACGGTATTGGCTAATGAGCTCCGTCGTACTACTCCTGAAGACCCAAGGGTGCGAGAGCTTACCCTTGAAGTCAACAGATTAGTATGCGAGCACAAAAGGAAAAAGTGCCTAGAGCACCTGAAGCAATGCAGCATTGCCAACGCAACAAGTAAATTGTGGACAACGGTTAAGTCACTCTCGAATCCTGGAAGGAAGGATGGCAGGACGGTTGTTAAATTTAACGACGTAACTGTAACAGACCCGAAGAGGTGCGCGAGTTATTTTAACCGACAATTCATAGAACACCCCCAGGAGTGGCAGGGCGAAAAGGAGTGTGCTACGTTGCATAAGGGCACTCAGAGCTGAGGAGGAACCATCACAATTTACGATGGAGGGCGTTGCAGATGTCATTAATAACGCAAAGTCGTCGAAAGCGTTGGGCCCAGACGGAATTTCCATGGTAATGCTTAAGCATCTGGATGAACCCGGAGTTGAGTACTCAACATCAGCCTTCAACTTGTCGTTAACCACCCACATAGTTCCTGAAGCCTGGAAAATAGGCACGGTGGTCCCGCTACTGCAGCCTGGCAAGAATGCCAGCAGGGGTGAATCGTACAGGCCGATTTCGCTCCTGTCGCCGGTAGCAAAGACACATGAGGTGATACTCCTCCCATCGTTGAGAAGCTGTTTTTTAGTTGCCCAACACCAACATAGATTCCGTAAGATGCACAGCACAACAACAGCATTACACGCCATTTCCACACATATTAGCAGAGGACTCAACCAGAACAGGCCGAACAACTGAACAGTTATGGTGGCACATGACCTATCGAAGGCCATCGATACCGTCAACCATGTCAAGCTGTTCAAAAATACAGAAAGGACAAATCTCCGACCATGTTTGAAACGATAGATAATCAACTATATGTGTGGACGCCAGTCGTATGTTGAATTCAGAAACCGGAAGTCTAAACCCCGTAGGGTGAAACGGGGTATCTCCACGAAGGTGTGATATCTACCGAACTGTTCAACCTCTACCTTTCTGATATTCCACAACCACTGGACAGCATAGAGATCGTAATGTATGCGGATGATTGTACGATCATGGCGTCGGATCCCATTATTGATGATATACTATGTGAGAGGCTAAACGTCTACATAGCCGATCTTGTTAATTTCTTCCATCTGAGGAATATGAAAATATCCGCCACCAAATCAACAGCCCCATTTTTCACCACATGGGCGGCTGAAATGAAGTTCCCACTGAACATAATGGTCGATGGAGAATTGATTCCCGCCACCAACTACCCCAAGATACTGGGAGTAACGTTCGACAGCCTTTTCAAGTCGTCTGCGCAAGCCACTGCTTTATGCGATAAGCTGAGAAGTAGGAACAAGGTCCTAAAGTCGCTAGCAGCCGGCAGCACTTGGGACGCTGACAAAGAAACATTGTGGACTTTTTATAAAACAATAGGCCGGTCAGTGGTAAGCTGTGCGGCTATGCCAGTGTGGTTCGCCAATGTTAGTGATATGCAGTGGAAGAATATCGAGAGCTGCCAAAATGCTGCCCTGAGAACTGCAACAGGATGTCTCCTCATGACTACAGTGGACCATCTTCATGAGGGGACGAAGATCGTCACAATTATATGTTGTCGATGCAGTACTTGCTTGGGTGCTATCGTCGGGAACATCCCTGCCATAGTCTTATGGACAGGACTCCCCCGCCCAGTCACGTCAGGAAAGATCTTCATGATCTAGAGAGAGAGAGAGAGATCTTACCCGTCCATCCTTACAATTATATGTCGTCGATGCAGCGTCGAAAGCAATAGGCCGGTCAGTGGTAAGCTATGCGGCGCCAGTGTGGTTCGCGAATGTAAGTGATACGCAGTGGAAGAATATCCAGACCTGCCAGAATGCTGCCTTGAGAACTGTAACATGGTGTCTCCTCATAACTCCTGTGGACCATCTCCATGAGGAGACGAAGATCTTACCCATCCGTCGTCACAATTATATGTTGTCGATGCAGTAGTTGCTTGGGTGTTATCGTCGGGAACATCCCTACCATAGTCTTATGGACAGGCACGTCAGGAATGATCTTCATGATCTAGAGAGAGATTCAAAGGTACAAGCGTGTGAACCCCTAGATCAAGAAGACTATCAAACAGGTCTGAATGGTATTCACACGGACGCAGTCGTTCAGGCAGTAGAGCAATATCGCGTGAGTACCATAATTGAAGACCACCCCCCATCCATCGCAGCAGAGGAAAAGCAGCTGCCAAGGCAAACACGAGTAGTCTTAGCTCAACTAAGATCAGGATGGTGCAACGGCCTCAATTCATATTGGACAAGAATTGACGGCTCGATACCTAACACATGTCCTGCATATGGACTAGGACCACACGACACTTTGCACCTCTTCAACTGCCCAGCTAAGCCGACTCATCTATCGCCGAATTCAACTTCTACAAGGTGTGTAAAGAGTAAAGAGTAAATTTTTTTTCAGGCCTTAATTTTTTCAGGGACTTCGACAAGGCGTGGATTTTTTTAAATAATTTTTTTCGGGGACTTCTACAAGGCGTGTAAAGAGTAAATTTCTTAAAAATATTTTTCTGTAGCCCATGGCGTATTAGTGCTGTCATAACGTATACGCCATGATGGCCCCACGAATAATAGTCCGATTATTACTTTGAGAAACCCGGCTTCCAATTACCATTTATAAAAATTTATTTTATGTTTTCATTTCCTCTTCCTTTTTTATTTACGACTTTTCACACTTCGGCATTATCAATTTTCTTTTCCCTTCCTCAAAAGGAGGGATAGCTGCCGAACCATCCAAACAAACAGCAAAAAATTGAAGCGGAACCCCCTCAAACGGAAATAACACATTCTTAACTTCGTTTTCAACAGTTTCAGCTATCTCTATAAATTTATAATCATGGCGGAATATAAAACAAAAAAAACTTGGTGTTGTTGTTGCCTTTTGTTGAATTATTGCTAACCAAAAACATCAGAAGCCAAACATGAGAACCGGCAATATATATTCGCCGGTTCTCTTGTTCTCAACTTCTAATTCATTTAACTTAACATTTGTTTTATTATCTCTCTTTTTTTCTTTCTCTCTCTCTCCTGTCTTCCCACCCTCCCTTACAGAGCATACATGCAAAGATTTCACCTGTGAATCGAATGGTTTTTGCATAAATCCCGATCTACTGTGCGATGGCATTAATCATTGCAGCGATAACTCCGACGAATCGGTGCATAATTTATGCCAAAGTAAGTAAAATACATACAAACACCCTCACACACACAGACACCTCTACACACACACACACCTCTACACCCACATTTTTACATACATACACACACCCACATAAATATTTTTCCTCTATCGAAGTCAGTATATTATATCGTCATATATCACGGAGGGCCCTCCGTTCGTCTGGTAATTTTGTTAAATTTATTCCTTGTATCCTTCGTCTGCTGCACAATGGGTGACTTTGGCAAGGAAGTGATGATAACAGGCATGGGGTGATAGATATTGTCCGGCAATGTGTGGGTGGGCGGGGATTGGTCGTGCTGGGTAATATTTTAAATAACTCTGCTTGCTAACTCGCTGTCGCTGTTTTGAGTCCAGTAATTTAGTTGGTAATGATTGTAGTAATGACCTGGCCGGGTAGGAATTGAATGTCCTCCTACACGCCAGGATGGCAACGTTCGGGGTAGGGGTAGGCCAGCTGATATCAATAATAATGATAGTAAATAGCCACAGTTGCGATTTATGACTCGGTAATTTAAATGTGTTGCTGTGTTAATCTTATTATGGGTTGATAAATGTGGCGGCCGGAACACGGAGAGAAAACAGAGGGCGGGGATTTTTTAAATATGTTTTTTTTCACACACACAGCCGTACACACACACACCTGGATTTTTAAAAAGAAAATTTCTATGCCTTCTATAAGGCGTGGATTTTTAAAAAGAACATTTTCGGGGACTTCCATAAGGCGTGGATTTTTTAAATAATTTTTTTCGAAGACTTCCATAAGGCGTGGATTTTTTAAAAAAAATTTTCGGAGACTTTTATAAGGCGTGGATTTTTTAAATAATTTTTTTCGGGGACCTCCATAGGCGTGGATTTTTTAAATAATTTTTTTCGGGGACCTCCATAGGCGTGGATTTTTTAAATAATTTTTTTCGGGGACCTCCATAGGCGTGGATTTTTGAAATAATTTTTTTCGGGGACTTCCATAAGGCGTGGATTTTTTAAATAATTTTTTTCGGTACCTCCATAGGCGTGGATTTTTGAAATAATTTTTTTCTGTGTTACTTCCATAAGGCGTGGATTTTTTAATAATTTTTTTCGGGGACTTCCATAAGGCGTGGATTTTTTAAATAATTTTTTTCGGGGACCTTAGGCGTGGATTTTTTAAATAATTTTTTTCATAAGGCGTGGATTTTTTAAAAAAAAATTTCGGAGACTTCCATAAGGCGTGGATTTTTTAAATAATTTTTTTCGGAGACTTCCATAAGGCGTGGATTTTTTAAATAATTTTTTTTGGGGACCTCCAAGCTGCACACATCTGATTCACTGATATCCGCAATCTTATCGGACTTCGTTGACAATTTGCCAAGCCGGTCTTCACTAACTGACAATATTGCTTTCATTTGTGAAGGAAGTCGCTGCATCCACAACTGCTTCCAAATGTCCTTTGAAACCTTACCTTGAGACAAAGACCGCATTTCAGACAATAAATGTCTCCAAGTTCAATGTTCGTCAAAATCTTCTTGATACGCTTCTCCTCTGAATCCGAGAAACTGCTAATTTTTACATGTTTTCCGCAGGAGGATCGACGATGATGTTTGATACCTTCTTCAAAATACTGCTTTCAATCGATGCGACAATGGTATGAAATTTTATGGAATCTTGCGTAATACCAGCCATATTGAATTGCGATTCCATTTGTTTGAACCACAGGAGCGGGTCGGAACGCCAAAATGGAGGAGCTTTCACAGCTACTCGCGAAACTTCCATTGATGGTCCAGAATTTGTAGCTGTGGTCGCCATTAGTAGGTCTGACTTGGCTTCTTTCCAGGAATTTATGGTCATATTTCGCCATGTAGACATCGATCCCATTGAAATCGATGGCATTGTAAATATTCCTCTTGAGTGGACGTTTACAGATTCCGTTGTTATCCAGTCTGGTCCTTATTCCCATGCATTATGCCAATATATTCCTTTCCCACATTCTAATCTTTTCCATTTGGGCTGACGATATGCATACCCATGCAGCAAAAGAGTATATGATGATGGGTCGTATCACGTGATTGTATATCAGGAACATTACCTCCGAAGAAAATCCTCCTCTTATTCGAAAGAGCCTTCATCTTACAGCTTCAGCAGAGCTGCAGGGGCAAGTGTGTTCTTTTAAGGAGGAAGCAGTTGTTCCGTTATCACATTATTCTCACTCTCGCTCGGCAGACGTCGGTCTGGCTATAAACGTTGGCATTGTAGATGTTTCAGTCTACAAATTCCATTTTTATCCAGTCTGGTCCTCAAATAGCCTTCATCTTACAGCTTTAGCAGAGCAGCGGGGCAAGTGTGTTCTTTTAAGGAGGAAGCAGTTGTTCCACTATCATATTATTTACACGCTAGCTCCGCAAACTTCGATCCGGCTGAAAGCGTTGACATTGTAGATGTTTCAGTCTACAAATTCCGTTGTTATCCAGTCTGATCCTCATTCCTATGGATTATGCCAATATATTACATTCCCAAATCCTAATTCTGCCGATATATCTACCCATGCTGCAAAAGAGTAGATTATGCTGGGTCTGTCACTTGTTTATATATCAGCAATTTTACCTCCGAAGAAAGTCCTCCTTGATAACCAGAAGAAAGCCCACCTAGCATCCGAAAGAGCCTTTGCTAGATGAAGTCCATATTTTCTCATTCGATAGCACATAATCCACATGGCGGTTAGAAGTTGAATATATCGTGCAGAATAATACCAAGATACCTTCGTTATGTCTGACAATCCCATGTAATCATTTCCAACTTTTATAGTTGATCTCTGCAGAAAACATGCTTTTGGACTTGAAAACCAGCGATACTTTGCATTTGAGTCCCCATTTGTTGAAGTAGTTGTGAAGAGTTTCCATGTACACATTCAGTCTTTTTTCCAAACTGTTTCCAAAGCAGCCTGGTGGGCGAATTATATCTTTTTGGCCCTCGATAGCGCATAATCCACATGGCGGGTAGAAGACGAAATCCAAACCAACTGTTTCTAAGGAGTCTCCTTTTCTCAATAGCATGGTTGATGTTAGGCGGAATAAAACTCTCCAGTAATTTCCCAAATGGCGAAAGTAGGGTCTGCGACTTCAGCATAGAGTAGGATCTGTTCCAGATTTATTCCACTGGAATAAATCTGAGTGCCTTGCTCGAAATCCAAATTAAAACGTAGGATTCTCTTTTCCTCCAGAGCAAGTTTGATGTAACAGAAAAAATGCTCCAGTAATTTACCAAAGGATAATAGTAGAAAAATTGGTATATATAGCTTCCTCATAGTGTACTGTATGTTCCAGATTTTGAGATATGTGTACCACTAAAATAAATCATTGAAGAAGTCCTTCCCTAAATATTTTTTTATACCTATTGTATAAGGTTCTGGAGTGCTTTCCTCCAAATCTAAAGTAATAGTCTCAAAGGATACTCCTTTCGCCAATAACCCGTTTGATACAGAATAAAATGCTCCAGTGATTTCCCAAAGGGTGATAGTGGGGAAATTGTTATGTAGCTTCCACATTTGTTTCAGATTTTGGCGTAATTTCCTTTTGGCCCAAATCTATTTATGAATAGATAACTTTAAATGCAAATACGTCAGGGTGAATTATGGCCGATTGATCAAGATATTATCTGAAAGTATAGAAGGAGAAAATTAATTACACACTTTTATTATTATTTTTTTTTTTTCTTTAAAAACTGGAGGTAAACCCTCCTCCAGCTATTCCGCTTTCTATTAGAATAGAAGGTATAGGATCATACACCATATGTAACGAAATTTTCTTATATTTTTCGTTTAGTTCGATAGATAAAACACGTGACAAGTTAAGCGAAAGCTTGACACAGCGCCATTTTGTAATTTTTTAAGCAGTTCGAAGACGACACTTTTATTATGGTGCGACACACTTTATATGGCGTTAATAGGGAAGCACCCAGCCTATCGGCCTACATAGCCTACATAGTCGCCCAGCTGACTATGCAATTAACTGTCAAAGTGCATAGTTGAATTTATGGCACAATAAATAGGTAGTCCATTTAGCGCAGCTGATGACTCGATTAACTGTCAAAGTGTGTAATTTCTACTTGAAATCGATGTGCAATGTTGCTTACCATGTGAAATATTATAAGGAAAATTTTGACAGATGGTCGAGACAAAAAGAAAGGTTTTTGTTTTGATACATCATCTTCTTATTGCATCATGGTTAAATTCGACGTGCAAAACAGTGCTGCCAACCATGAGAAATATAACTAGATAAAATTTGACAGATGGTCGAATAAAAAAAAACATATGTTTTTGTTTGATACACATCACCTTACATTATTGCATGGCACAATGAATAGGTAGTCTATTTAGATCAGCTGATGTCTTGATTAATTGTCAAAGTGCGTAATTTCTACTTGAATTCGATGTGCAATGTTGCCAACCATTTGAAATATTATATGGAAAAATTTGACAGATGGAATTGACATTTGAAATCGAATGGATTACGTAGTCTAAACGCCATATAAGCCTATTCAGAAAAAAACAGCTGTTCCAAGCATGATGCAATAATGTAAGGTGATGTGTATCAAATCAAAAACATATGTTATTTTTATTCGACCACATATGTTTTTTGTTTTGATACACATCACCTTACATTATTGCATCATGCTTGGAACAGCTGTTTTTTTTCTGAATAGGCTTATATGGCGTTTAGACTACGTAATCCATTCGATTTCAAATGTCAATTCCATCTGCTATACATCATGCTGGCAATGCAATGTTGCCAACCATTTATTTAATATTAGCATAATCCACAACTACGATTTAGTGATGATCGGTTGTCCCTCCTGTGTCCATGTTTGCTGTCAGGCTCGAAGATAGACTTTATAAATACCAAATCCCCATATAATAAAATTTCCGGGTTTTGATCATTTAAAAAATGTTTACACTATGAGAAGTTTATTATTTGGCCATCAGCAGTACGTACATAACTAAGGAGGCAATAAATATCGTAAT